CGCCCTCCTCCACCTCCTCCTCCTCCTCCTCCTCCTTCCTCTCTTCTATCCCTTCCTCCTCGTCATCCTCGTCTTCGTCTTCGTCCTCGTCCTCGTCTTTGTTTTCGTCCTCGTCTTCGTCCTCGTTCTCCGCCTCCGCTTTCTCCTTCTCCTTTTCCTTCTCCTCCTTCTCCTCCTCCTCCTCCTCCTCCTCCTCCTCCTCCTCCTCCTCCTCCTGATGTCCTCATATGCCCCCCTCCCCCCCAGGCCTGCACGGTGCTCGCGACCTGACCCGTGCACTTCTGCTGCCACTCGGCCGGCAGCTGGAACGCGTAGCTCTGCGCGTAGCCGCCGCTCACCTGGGGGGGGGGCGGGCGGCGGGCGGCGGGGCGGTCCGCGGGCGCCGGCCACGGAGAGCGGACGGGGGCCCGCGAGGGCACGAGGCTCGGCACGCCGCCCACGGCGGGCCGCTGGGGCGGTGGCCCGCGCGGCTGCCGCTCGGACCTCGGCGGAGCTGGTGCAGCCAACCCTTATGACAAGGACGCGCGACAAGGAACCCCCTCCTCCTCCTCCGCCTCCTCCGCCGATCCTCCGCCTCCCATCCTCCCCTCCCTCCTCCTCCTCCTCCTCCTCCTCCTCCGCCTCCTCCTCTGCCTTTTCCTCCCCCTCCTCCTCCTCCTCCTCCTCCGCCTCCTCCTCTGCCTTTTCCTCGCCCTCCTCGCCCTGGCCCCCTACCTCCTCCGCCTCCGCCTCCGCCTCCGCCTCCGCCTCCGCCTCCGCCTCCGCCTCCTCCTCCTCCTCCTCCTCCTCCTCATCCTCCTCTTCGTTCTCCTCCTCCTCCTCCTCCTCCTCCTTCTCCTCCTCCTCCTCCTCTGCCTGTGCGGTGTCAACCCGTGTGATGAGGACGCACGATGCGGATGCAGGGGCCCTGGCAGGCCATGTCCGCACCTGGCGGGCGGCGGCCGCGGCCAGCGAGCGCGGCCAAGGATGGGCCGAAGGGGAGGGATGCGGGTCGACCGTAGGGCGGTGGCCCGCAGGGCTTCCGCCCCGACCTCGGCGGAGGTCGCAGCCCAAATGGACTCGCGGGGACCTCCCTGAGCCCGCTCCCGCCGTCGCTCGGACGTCCACTCCCGGTGCACTTTTCCGATTCCGTGGGTGCCTGCTTGGCCAGACGAGCCAGGCTGCTCCTCGATGGTCCCCGCCGGGAAAGCATGCACCAAGGGCTCCCAACTTCGCGCTTCGCGCTGCGCGAAGCGCGAAGTGCGAGTAGCTTCGCGGTCTCGCGCCGCCTCCCAGGGGAGAGGAGGAGGATGCGGAGGAATCGGAGCCGAACCGCGAAGCGCGCATAACTTCGCGCCCTCGAGGGCGCCCTTGAAAAACATGCACACGCCCGAGCGATGCCAAGCACTGCCGAACTGGACGAGGAGGGCCGAGCGGGCAGAGGCGTGGGCGGGGGAGGCGGGGCCCCCGCCTCCCCCGCCCACGCCTCCCCCGCCTCGGCTCCAGTCCCCCCCCCCGCGCGGGGGGGGGGGGGGACTGGAGCCGAGAGGCGGGCGAGCGGGGAGGCCGGAGAGGCGAGAGGCCGAGGAGGGGCGAGGCGAGAGGGGAGGAGGCGGGAGGAGGAGGAGGGGGAGGAGGGAGGAGGAGGAGGAGGAGGGCGGATGATGATGATGATGATGATGATGATGATGATGATGATGATGATGATGATGATGATGATGATGATGATGATGATGATGATGATGATGATGATGATGATGATGATGATGATGATCATGATGATGATGATGATGATGATGATGATGACGATGATGATGATGCTGCTGCTGATGATGATGACGAGGAGGAGGAGGAGGAGGAGAAGGAGGAGCAGCAGGAGGAGGCGGAGGAGGAGGCGGAGGAGCAGGAGGAGGAGGAGAAGGAGGAAGAGGAGGAGGTGGAGGAGGAGGAGGAGGAGAAAGACGGGGACCCAAACCTCCTCGCGTTGGGAGAAAATCACGACGGGAGGTCTTCCGCTATGTTCTGCATCTGGGGTCCCTTCCCAAGCAGCGGGACCGTCAAAAAAACACTCCGGATGAGAAACCGGTCCCGGGGAAAAGGTCCAGAGCTCTGGGGGTCGACGCTGCGAACAAAAATCACGACGTGGGGGGTCTGGGCAACGGGGCCGTCTGCGCCGGCATTCGCGCGTGAGCTGCCCGCGTAACGTCGCGCGCAAGCGCCCTCGTCTCCACTGTGGCTTGCCACGCTGGTGGCCCGCGTAGCCGCCGCGTAAGGTCGCTGTGCCATCTCGCGCAAGACCCGTTTTTGATCGTCGCTCACAGTGAGCACGAGCCTAGGATTAAGTCGGGCCTGTGCCCCTACAGGGGGATTTTCGACGAAAAATTTAAGATACCCCGACAAAAATCAAAAAATAGTCTGGGGACTATTTTTGGAGTACTTTTTACCTTTTCGGTGTATTTTTGTGGTACTTGTCATTTTTCGTCGAAAATCCCCCTGTAGGGGGACACGCCCGACTTAAGCCGAGGGGAGGAGGCGAGGTCCGCGCGGTTTTCTCGGATCGGCGCTGGACCCCCCTCCCTGGCCCGCGTCGTTGGCCGTTCCCCTATGGACTCTCTGGGATCGAGCGTCACCAGGCCGAGGCGCAGTGGATATGGATCCAAATCTGGTCCCCCAAGGGGCCAGATCTTTATACATGTCCACTGCGCTTCGGGCTTCTGGGGGAGGGGACCCGAGACTCCAAGACGCAATGGGTATGGATACATATCCTGCCAGCACCCCCTCTCTTGAGATCCGACGTAGCAACAAAAATTGCAACACCGTAGAAAATCACGCCCAAAGCCTGGACTCCATCATTCTGCGCCATTTTCGAACCGGATCGGTCTGTGAGGGTCCCAAGGCCCGAAAAAAAAGTGACAACGTGGGGCCCGGAAAAATTGGAGCGCCAGAATCTCAGGGTCTCTCTTTTCTTTCATCGGAGATTGAGTCAGCACGCTGACAGCCGAATACGCTAGGACATAAAATGCGCCATAGCCTCGACCGCCTCGTCGAGAGCAATGGCTTCCGCTTCCAATGGCGACATTGACTGCTGTATACAAGGTGCCCGCCATGGCGACCCGAGTGCGCCCCTGGCCAGCCACAAGAGGAGGAGGAGGAGGAGGAGGAGGAGGAGGAGGAGGAGGAGGAGGAGGAGGAGGAGGAGGAGGAGGGAGGAGGGAGGAGGAGGAGGAGGAGGAGGAGGAGAGGAGGACAACTCAAGATGCCAAGCGCCCCCCTCGGCTCCCCCCTTCCTCCAACAGCCCGCCTGGGAGTTGCAGAAGCCGTCGTCCTGAAGGTGCCGCAGGGCGGCCCCCTTCGGCTTGGCGCCCTGCAGGGAGGTGGGGGGCAGGAATGTCTAGGAGGAGGAAGAGGGGGAAGAGGAGGAGGAGCAGGCGGAGGAGGAGGAGGAGGAGGAGCAGGAGGAGGAGCAGGAGGAGGAGGAGGAGGAGGAGGAGGAGCAGGAGGAGGGATAGGAGGAGACGGAGGAGGAGAAAGGGAGGAGAATGAATCCCCCGCGGCCCAACACCACCAAGACCGGGGGAGGGCGTGCAGCCCGTGGCCAGGGGTCTGGTCGTCGTCGTCCTCCTTCTCGCCCTCGACCTCGATCTCGTCCTCGCCTTCTTCTTCTTCTGCTTCTGCTTATTATTATTATTATTATCATTATTATTATTATTATTATTATTATTATTATCATTATTATTATTATTAATATGATCATTATTATTATTATTATTATTATTCTTATTATTATTATTATTCTTATTTTTCTGATTCGTCTTCTTCTTCCTCCTCCCTGTCATCCTCGTCCTCGCAACGTTGACATTCTCCCCTCTCCCGCCCATTCCTTCCGATGGCGCTGTTTTTCTTTATCCGCCGACAGATGTCATACAGTCGGACTTGGTTGGGGAGGACACGCGAGAGGACACAAGACCCTTCCGAGGGCCACGTTGCCACAAAAGTGCAGGAGGCACGGGTCGCAAGCCACAGGACACGAGGGCACCCTCGATTTGGCAGGGTCGGCCTACTAATCTGGGCCGCCTGCAGCGGACTTGGAACTCCCAGTAAGACCCCACTGCGTGATGCGCGATCGGAAGAGAGGTGCTCCGCACAAAGGGGGGGCGGATGAGCACGAGGAAGCGGAGGTGGAGGAGGAAAAGGGAGGACGAGGGCGAACAGCAGCACCAGGAGCTGGAGGGGAAGGAGCGAGGTCAGCAGGAAGGCCGGGGGCAGGCAGAGGAGAAGAAAGAGGGGGGGGCGACGACGATGAGGAAAGGCTCGGGTCCAGAAGCAGTCATCCCGGTGGGGCGAGAGCAGCAGGTCTGCACGACGGGAGCAAAGCGCCGATCCAACAACGAATCCCACGCTGCCGCGGGAGCGCCACTTGGGAAGAACCAGGGACCTGCTGCACCGAGACAGCATTCCGGAAAGACGCGGAGCGCACCGATCCTGTGCAGGAAGCACCACGTGGAGCGGGCGCGCCACTCAGAGCACGCCTTCGGGGGAGAGAAGAGAGAGAGGAATAGTCATGCCGTGTGAGCGCGGACGGGGACAAGGAGAACGGAACTGGGATGGCGATCGGGAGGAGGTGGGGGCCGAGAGCGATCCGTGGAAGGGAGGGCGGGAGGCAGGGGGGAGGGGAGGATGGGAAAAGGGTCGGGGAGGGAAAGGGGAAAAACGGAGGAGGAGGAGGAGGAGGAATGGGAAGAGGAAAAGGAGGAGCAAAAGGAGGAGGAAGAGGAGGAGGAAGAGGAGGAGGACGGAACAAGGGGGAGGGCGGAAACACGGCAGTGGAGGGAGGCGGACGGAGAAACACTATCCTGGCGCGAGGCCCAAACACATTCAACTGTGAATTTCGCGTTGTGGATACCGCTTTCGGTGGAGCTCCCTCTGGTGTAACGAACCGTGTGGTGGCTGCGCCGAAATGGGTGCGGGTGCGCCATGCGAGCGCTGCCGCTGGCCTTCGGTGAAGCTCCTCATGTGGCCACGAAGCGTGTGAGATGTGTGCCGAAATTGGCCGCTGGTGCAATGCGAGCGCAGCCACTGGCCCCCCCGTGGAGCTCCTCATGGGGCCACGCATTGTGTGTGAGGGGTGCGACGAGATATGCACAGTGGTGCCATGCGGGCGCAGCCTGTGGGGCCCTCGGCGGAGCTCCCCATGGGGCCACGAAGCGTGTGAGAGGTGTGCCGAACTTGGGCGCGGTGGTGGCACGCGAAGGCAGCCACTAGGGCCTTCGGTGGAGCTCCCCGTAGGGCCACGAAGCGTGTGAGGGGTGGGCGGACATGTGCGCGCTGGTGCCATGCGAGCGCAGCCACTGAGGCCCTCGCCGGAACCCCCGATGAGGGCACGAAGCTCGTGAGGGGTGTTGCGACATGGGCGCGGTGGTGCCATGCAAGCGCAGACACTGGTGCCCTCTGCGGAGCTCCCTGTGAGGCCACGAAACGCGTGAGAGGTGTGCCGGAAATGGGCGGGTGTGGAGGTGCCATGCGAGCCAAGCCTCTGGGGCTTCGGTAGAGCTCCGAATCAAGCCAGGAAGCATGGAAGGGGTGTGCCGAAATGAGTCTCAAGAGCGGAGCCAGGAACTCGTTCGTGGCAGAGTGCGCAGGCCCAGTGACGGCCCGCCCTGACAACACAGTGGGCGGAGCTCGACAGGGCCCGTTGGGTCGCGGGCTTTGGGGAGACCAAGAAGGCCGAAACGACGTTTGGAGGTCCTCGCCCTCTGCTGAGCCAAGGTACAGCCGCCCCTGCTCTCGGGCAACCTTGCTTGCCTTCTCCAACCGAAGTAGTGATTCCCCGGACGGGATCCTATCCTTTGGCAAGCCCAGGGCGCAGCCGCCGATGCATCGCCAAAAGGCTCGACGAGCTCGCCAGCGCACGGGGGCCGCAGGACAGGCCAAGACGTCGGTGCCAGCGGGGCCTCCGGACGAGAGCGGACGACCAGGCCCGTCTCGAGGCTTCCCCTGCGAGAGCGCCAGCGGCGCCACTGCCCCTGGCCAGGTGCTTCTCCCGGGCGGACGGGTTGGGATCGCTCGCCTCTGGGGCCTTTGGTGGGACCCCCTATGGGGCCACGAAGCGCCGTACGGGGCGGAGCGGGCGCATGCGAACGCCGCTGGAACTCCCTGTGGGCCCACGGAACGTGTACTGGGCAGGGCAGACGCATGCGAACGTCGACACTGGGGACGTCGGTGGAGCTCCCTATGGGGCCACGAAGCGCCGTACTGGGTGGGGCATCGGCGTGACCCGGGGCCGAGGAGGAGGAGAAGGAGGAGGAGAAGCAGGAGGAGACGGAGGAGGAGGAGGAGGGAGGGGGAGGACAAGCTAGGTGCGCTCGCGTCATATCTGAAGTCCTACCCCTATCTCCCATCCTTTACCATGGCGCAGATCTCCTCTCTATTCGCACTGTCGGATGACGTAGCAGGGCATAGCATGACATGGCATAGCATGGTGTTGAAGATCAACGCGTAGCCTGACATAGCATGGCGTGGCGACGCACCAAAGTGGGGGGGCTTCTGCGGCCCCAAAAAATCAACGAGTCGCCACCGAATGTGTAACCACGTCCGAAGGTTGTTGCGGGTGATAATTTTCTAAATGTGGGGGCCGATTTGGAAGGACTGAAAACCATGCCGTGGCATGGCGCTGGAAATAACGACGCCAGCGCTGCAGCGGGAGCACGATTCGGAACGAGTGGAAGCGCGGAAATGAGGCCATCGCTGCAGCGGGAGCACGATTCGGAGAACGCGTAGCCTGACATATCGGGCGTGGCGACGCCCCAGAGTGGGGGGGGGGGCTTCTGCGACCCAAAAAATCAACGAGTCGCCACCGAATGTGCGTTCACTTCCGATGGTTTTTTCGGGGGGGGGGGGGGGGAGATTTGGGGCCGATTTGGAAGGACAGAAAACCATGCCGTGGCATGGCGCTGGAAATAATGACGCCAGCGCTGCAGCAGGAGCAAGATTCTGAACGAGCGGAAGCGCGAAAATGAGGCCAGCGCTGCAGCGGGAACACGATTCGGGACGAGCGGTAGCCCCGAAAATGAAGCCAGGGCTTCAACGAGAACACCATTTTGAAACAAAACCAAAAGAAAATCAAACTCCGGGGAACCCTGCGTGCAAAACAACAGTACGCGGAGGGGGGCTGGACATGTCCTGGACGTCACCAGGGGAGAGAGGAGATCAGTATTCATATTGTTTGATTGTGGAGGGAGGGAGGAGGAGGAGGAGGAGGAGGAGAAGGAGGAGGAGGAGGATGAGGAGGAGGAGGAAGAGGAGGACGAGGGAGGGGGGAGGAGGAGGCGCGCGGACCGCACGCCACCAGCAAGAGGCAAGCCTCGAGCTGGTGGTCCGGTACAATCAGCACCCAGCACACACCAGGGCGTGGGCCGAGCGGGAGGGCCGCCCCGCCTGCCTGGCCACGTCGCACGCCATCCTCCCCAGCGCCGAGAGCACCAGGAAGAGGCACACGTATGCGGCGGGGGAGGGGGAGACGACGGGCGACAGACTACAAGGGCGGCCCAAGAAAAACAAAACGAGTTTAATCAGACCCTGAGCTCGCTCCATCGGGAACGGGTTCGGGAACACTGGCGGCCGCTTCCAGCGGCCTCGGATCATCAGCGCTGCGGAGCTCCGCGCGGTCATCGCCGCGCTCGGTGGCCCCAGCTATCTTCACGCCCGTTCTGGGGTGACACCCGCGCTCCAGCCGTCTAATCGACATTCTCTGGTTGGCGGCAGTGCTCGGGACCTTGGACCTCCCTTTGCATTGCTGCGTGAGGTTTCGCAGCGAGCCAAGAGATCCGTGAGCCCCGCACAACTTACAACAGTACACATGCAGATGACGGAAAACGTCGTGCCCAAGGTCCCGAAACACAGCAAACTCGTCCGACGGCTCAGGGACAGCCACAGGAGTCGGGGGACCTTGGACTTCATCAATGCACGCACGCTGAGCTTCGTCAGCGGCAGCCAGAGCAACCCTCACTGCTTCCAGCTGCACGGGCCTAAAAGCCGCCCCAAACTCGCGAAACCACTGGTCGCACACGTGTCGCTGGATCGAAGACGGAGAACAATCACGATAGTCTCTGCTCGTGAGCAGGCTCTTAAGCGACTCCAGAGTGCGAGCCACGCGGCCACAGCTCCTGCACTTGTAAGTGCTGGTGGCCTCGCAGCGAAATAACACATGGCTAGTGACCGTGACCTTAGGAGGGGCAGGGGCTCTCAAGAGGCGGAGGGGACGATCAGGGTCAACTTGTGTCCATGTGCCTGACTCGAGCAAACGTTGAGCAGCCCATGCAAGGAACCGCACCGTGGACTTGTGATATTTTAATTGACCTGATACCG